GTAGCGTCATACAGCGACGTTTGAAAAGAACAGTATCACTTGGGAGGGGAAAATGAAGCTAACTGTGGAAAAAAAAGAAAAAAAAAAAGAAATGAGCGTGAATTGAACGGCAGGTGCGTGAAATCGTGTGATTTCCTTGCGAATCGTGCGATTTCGTTGAACGTTTTACCAGGTATGGCTTCTAGGTCTGTCAGGCCCATGCTTGAACGTTGCGCGGCGAAACTTGCAGCCGACTAAGCTGCCGGTCAAGCATGAGCTATCATGGTGGCAACTTCAACTGAACGTTGCCTGGCAACTGGAAATCAATTTCTAATGGCAACTACGCTGGGCATGTGTATTCCAACGATAAGAATGGGAACGATCGTTCACTACGTGCTGGTGTTTTCACGTGGAAATTAATAGCCGCACGCGTCGCTTGTTGTCTTCGCGATCCTTCGCGTGTCGCCACTTTCGGATGTTATCTAATATTCAACGCGCGGTTGCAGCAGCGCATTTCGTGACAGTCGGTCATGAACGCTTCGTTTTATTATTTCACGGATGCAACAATTTAGTTTAATTGTTGTGAATAAATTAGTAGAGACACTGGATAATGTTTGAATATTCAGAAATTTTGCTTAAAAATTCAGTTGATAAGTTTGGTCGATGTATACGCGACGAAGATTTGATTATTCGATAAATCAATAATTTAATCATTCTTAAATTTTTATTATAAGACATTCCCATTAGTTCGCCGTAATAATGAATATTATAATTTTTATAACTTTTGCAAGTTATAACTAAATTTACACATGTATATAGTATTGGTTTTTAGCACATGACAATGTTACTACATGCTAAATACATAAATACAAAAGTTAGAATAATTATTTAGATAATGTATTTTCGTAATACGCGCGCCATGTTTTTAAAGTGCCCCCACTCCATTAAATTAGTTGGCGACGCAAACCTGTTGCGCAGAAGGTTAGTGTATTGCATAAAATCGTAACGTTAAGATGTATTACTATTTGTTACGCATTATTGTAATATTTTTATCGTCATACTTTTATCATTTATTATCTATGCTACTGTTAACATTGCTTGTTAATT